AGCTCCTGAGAGTGACCCATTATTTCACAAATGTTTGTAGAAGCAGTCTGCATGCCTAGGTGCTTAATTTTATACACCTGTGGTCATGGAGGTGATTGGAACATCTGAATCCAATGATTTGGAGGGGTGTCCGAATACGTTTTGCAATATAGTGTATGTAACATATTTAGTATTTGTTTTTGCACTTGACTGGATAATTTAGGTGAATACTCACACACAAATTATTGTGAGTCAATTCTCAACTCCTATTGTGAATCACCTCAGATGTAGTAAAAAAAAAATAGGTAACTAGCCAGCAGCAGGCGACACATTCATCTAGTGGAACCCAGGAATCCCACAGCTCTTATTCAAGCCAGAGTGCAAGTTCAAGCTTCAACCATAAAGAATAATTTCCTGCCAGGAACATGCCCTGAGCTTGATATATATTGCACTATTATTCTTTATAGATGGACTTGGTGAATGCACACTGGCTATAGAATGGGATGCCGAAGGGCTGGGTACACAAGAATGAAGGTGGTCATTGTTGATCATTCCTTTTGAAAATGTGAGATCCTGGATTGACTTTAACGATTCCTGTGTTTTACTAACCTGAAACAAGTATACACTATAAGGAATTCTAAAATTCATATATAGTATGCATGTCCTTTGTCTGTGACTTGAATAACATTAATGCCAGACACAGCCAGAGAACACACAATGGTAGCCTCCATACTTCTCTCATGACATGGCCACTTTAAGACTAAAGCTGGCCATGCACTGGACAAAAACAATCTGATTGCTCCATCCACACAGCTAGGTAGATGGAAGAATCCTCCTGCAGGGTCATTGTATTTTGAGAGTGGAACTTGCTGCTGTCAGAATACACTAATCAGCGACTGCAGTTGAACTGACAAAATTCAATCAGTGTAGACAGCCTTAGAGATGCATGTTGTTTTTGAAGTCCAGGTTTCTTCACCAGTGTGGCATATTCTTTAAATAAATAAGTCCAATAAAGGGATCATGGAACATAATGCTTTGGTGCCTTTGAAAAGGAAATAAAAAGCTGAAGGCAAAATGTAGAGTCAGTGTTTTTACAGCAGTTATTTTAAGTTTGTTAAAGTCTCTGGTGAATTTTATAAGTAAAAGCCTGAGATATATAAAAAAATTGGCTATAAAACAGAGTTAGCAAAGGTCAAAAGCTTTAATACAGGATGACCTACTATTAACAGTATGCTGGTATAAGCATTGCACAGCAAGCAGCATTTTTCACATTTGTATGATTTGTGATTCATTATTGGGAATACACAAACATTGCTCTCTTAAAGTGACTCTACTGCTACAACAAAAAAACAGTGCGTGTAAATCACCCTGACAAAGAAGTTTATTAAAGTGGAAGTTCAGGCAAAATCTAACTAAGGCTAAACCTTCTCCCTCTCCCATTCTAAACCTATTCTATCTATCCCTGCAAAGAAAGATGCTATAGCAAGACACTTGCCATAGGATCATGTGTGTGTGCTCTCTCCCGAGCCCCGCTCTGTGTCCATAAGCCCTTCCCCCTGCACCCGCCTCATTGGCTGTGATTGATAACAGCAGGAGCCAATATCTCCTGCTGCTGTGTCTGAGCCAATCAGGAGGGAGAGAGCCAAAAGAGCCTCTGCTCTCATGAACATCGCTGGGTCAAGATCAGGCTCAGGTAAGTATAAGGGGGGGGCTAGGGGGGAGCTGCATTCTGAAAGGTTTTTTACGTTAATGCATAGAATGTGTAAAACACTTTCAGCACTTAGCACCACTTTAAGATGGATATATACGTTCAGTTTTTTTGCATTCAACCAGCGGGTTGAACAAAAAAAAAAAAAAAAAAATCTGACAAGTCCCCACATCATCACAAATGATGAGTGATGCAGGGATCTCTCACACTGTGCTATTGGCTCCCCCCACCCTCCCCCAGCAGAATACACTGATCAGCACCAATGGCTGCAATCGCTGATCAATTGCTGGTTTTCCAGTAAGACCATGCAACAGAAACTGGTTGTTGAACCGGCTTCTGTTAAACAGACAGTGGTACAGATGTACTGGAAGTACAGTACGTGTGTAAAAGGCTTTAGTAGATGTGGTGGCTGCTATTGTATTCTTTTTTATTGCATTGCCAGATTTATAGTATGCTCCTCACTTTCCATGAGATGAACTAGAAAAATAAAAAAAAAATCTTATCTTCCTCTGCAAACTATTAATCCCCTCATATAATGGAGATGAACAAAGGCAAACATGTTTAAAAAAAAAAGCGAGAGATCTGAGAGAGATCCTGGAGAGACTGTTGCTGTGTAACCTATTTTCTTTTGGTTAGGGACTGTTCCAGAGTTTTGGGCTCAGGGCTGTTTCCAGTGTGGGATCCCCCTGAAGCTTTATGTCCACATCCTCCAATAATAGAGGCCTTCTTTCAAGAAGTTAGTTTCTACAAGAGGGTGTCTTCAATTTAAGCTGTACTAGTTCTGAAGTATCCCAAGGCTCACCCTATTCCCCCTCCCAGTTTTTAACCAATAACCCAATAAAAAAACGTTTGCCTGGTTATTAAGTGGATAGACTGATAAACTGCGTGTTCCAGACTGCTGTGCAATAATCCAAAACAGGGACAGCAATAATCCAAATAGCAAAGAGGAGGATCACAAAAGGGGAAGTTCGCTTTAAGGACTGCTCCCCAACTCACCATTAAGGCTTGGCACCTTTGGGGGGCGGGGAGCGGGTACCCAATTTGACAGGTACCCGCTCCCACTTCTGGTCCGATCGCCTAGGCAGTCTGAAGCGGAAGGTGTCCTCCCTCTCTGTAGTCTTTTAGGACAAGTGACAGGTCCCAGAAGACTACAGGACCATTCACGAAGCGCAGTGCTACTTGCACATGCGCAGTGGGTACCTGGCTGTGAACTTGCAAGCTGTCACAGCCGGGTGCCCATACTGAAGATGCCGGCCTCCTGGAATACAGGACGGCCAGTCAAACGGGCTGCAGGGGACACACCACAGGACCGAGGGACAGGTAAGTGGCTGTTTTTAAAAGTCAGCAGCTACAGTTTTTGTAGCTGCTGACTTTTATTTTTTTATAGGGTGAGTGGAACTCCACTTAAACTAATAACCCATAATGGCTTTTAAAGTTTTGCTTATGGAGAATTTTGGGTGCCTTTTTGTTTGCAATTTCACACAATTTTTAATGCTTGACCTGTTGGGTAACTATTTACTCGATACAGATTTAGATCTCTTAGATTTTAGCAAAAATTTTGTATAATATTGTGTTTGTTTGCACTCAAATTCATTTGAGTGTATTTTTTTCTAAAAATATGTTTGATAAACAGCAGAGCAAAAAAATAATTGCAACTGTCACTATAATTTCCCCCCACCCAGACAAGTGGTTAATGAAGAAATTTCAAATATTCAGACATACAGGCAGGGGCGTATTTACCACAAGGCAAACAAGGCATTTGCCTAGGGCAGCATTTTGTAGGGGGCAGCAGTGCCCCCTGGAAGAAGGGACATTGTCAGCATGGGGACCAGGTGGCATCCAAGAGAAGGGATGTCCAGAGCTGTGAAGGTGAGCGTCTCTCTGTTGCCACGGGGGGGGGGGATGTTAGTGGAATGCTCTCTCAGGTGGGGATGGGGCACGGGTGTTGTTGGCCACTTGGGGGGGGGGATTTGGGGGGTCTGGTGTTGGTCAGTGTCAGGCTCTCTCTCTGCCGGGGAGGGGTGTCTGATTTTTGTGTTGCCTAGGGCAGCACAAAACCTAAATACACCCCTGCATACAGGAAGAGAAGGCAGAGGACTGAAGAAAACACTTCTCTTCACACACTAAAAAAAAAAAACCAACTGATCACTTCAGCCACTCTCCACGCCTTTGATTGACTATATGTGGAAAGTAAGCTACAAAGTACTTAGCAAAAAGAAAAAAAACACATTGGAGTAAAGGTGAACAACAAGTAGGTTTCAGGTACTTCAGCGAGATATAAACAGAAGAAAAAATCAAGGAGAGAATCGTCTGTAGATTCAAAGTTCATAATGATACAGGAAATACTTCAACACCAGTACAGTGATCCACAAACCAGAAAATGGTAAGAATAGGTGAACTTTTATGTACAGCATTTAATGCTTAGGAGATGGCTAGTAAAACAAAACAAGGTAGCATACACCAAATAATCAAAGTTATTTGTGGAAAGAGCAAACCCACCTCATCTCTCCTAGTTATAGCAAGAAGAGAAACCTTTTTACAACTGAAGAGCACCAAGAAATCGTATAGCCTGAATACTTCAATTAAAATTTAAACAGACATTCAGCAGAGGAAGAAGATTAAATCCCGGAAGCTCAAACAGCCCTCAAGATCAACACAAAACATCAAGGAAGAAATTATAGTAGCTATAAAATCTTTTAAAACAAAGAGAAGGTGTCTGGGATTGATAATGTAAAGAGAAAGTATAGTGGTTTTTCAGTAAGCACTTAATCTGAAATATTTTGACAGAGCAGTATTAAACCCCCCAAAAAACTTTTTTTTTATATTGCAGTTTACTAATTCATAGATGTAATGGCTGCATTATTTTTCCTTTTTACCCTTTTTGCCTATATTTTCACCTGGTGATCCAGCCAGTAGGTCTGTTATTTTTCAACTTCCTTTAACAGGCCAAGGTGTCCAAAGTGGCAGTAAGAGGGTTAGGACAAACCATTAACGCTGATAGAGGTGCCTACAATGGTCAGCTATTCATTGTGTAAAATCTTTGTCCCCCCAAAAAAATGTTCCTATAGCTGCTTATGATTTGTTAGCTGGATTTCACCTTTAATTTGATAGCCAAGACAATGTAAATCTGCTAGTATATTGTATACTGTCTTCTCCCCAGGTTGACAATGCTGCTGTCCAAAGGTGTCTGAATTGTTCCTCCATTTAGAGTGGAGACACCCTGAGTCATGAGTTTACTGGCCAGATCACCAGATGAATATAAAGTAAAAAAAAAAATACCTCAAAAGGAGAACTAAAGCAGCCACTGCATTTAAAGTGTTACTAAACCCACAACAATAAAATCAGTCTGTGTATGCAGTAAAGCATGCTTGTTATACTCACTGTGGAACCTAAGGGGTTTATCCTCTGCATTGTGCAAAAAGGCCATTTGGTCCGGTTTTCTCTGCCTCTCCTTGTTCAAATGTCCACTTGATCAGACAGACTGAACCCATAGCCACATGCACATGCTCAGTTTAGTGTGTATTGCTAGAGAGGGAGGGTTTTTTTTTTCTTGGGAGAGTACATGTGCAGGGCTGTGGAGTCGGTAGATAAATGTTCCGACTCCATAAATGTTCCGATTAATATGCGAATGTATTTTATACATTCCTTGAAGGAAAGAAAGGCAACATACATGTCATTACCACAGGACTACTGGCTGGGAAGCCAACAGTCTACTGTATTGAACAGTTTAAGCAAAAGACAAACACAATGAAAACAACAAAGTTTTATAAAAAAAATTTTATTAATTAATCAAGTGGCTGGATAGTAGCAGCAGGCATAAACATCAGGAACAGGAACTTTACCAGTCCAAAAATACAAACCACATTATTTGTTGTTTTAGAACAAAAACAAAGCTTATCTATATGAACCAAAAACAAAATCTGTAAAACGCTATGGAAAGTATAAGTATTGCCGCTCCTAATTGTGCGTTGCGTGCCATATAGTGAAGCACATGAAAAGCATGCTTCTTCACGGTCACTTAACGTGTTCGTTTTGCGGTTACGTGAGACACTGCATGCATTGGTCTTTATTCTTACAGTAGAGAAGTCATTAATTATAACTTTTTATGAATTGGGACATTTAAACTTGCTTTTTTTTTAATTCCAAACTAAATTTAATCGGAGTCGGAGTATTGTTTGCCGACTCCGTCTCCAGGTACCCAAAATTTCCTCCGACTCCGACTCCATGACTCCGACTCCGACTCCACAGCCCTGTACATGTGATCAGCACAGAGCCAAACAGCACTGTCCAGACAGAGGGTCAGGGGTTCTGCATCCTCCTAGAGCAGAAAGAAAACTCTTTCTTCAAGCTTTAACCAGTGCTCTGTTGGACACTGATAGAAGTCACAAGACTGCTCTAACTGCTGATGAGAAAAGGTATTTAGCAGTTTATATTTACTAAAATAATTGCATTTCCATGTTCCATGCAGGGTCCTGGGTTTAGTAACATTTTAATAATTGGTAAACTGCAATATATTACATTTTTTTTTTAGTACTGCTTTAAAGTATTTGATTTGATTTTCACTTTACTCTTCCATATTTTTGTTACTGTATTAAATGTAGAAATCTGTAGATCAACCACTAGAGGGAGTTCTCTATAGCTCAGCACAATTACTCAGCTTAAAGGGTTAGATCACTTTCACTAACTTTTGCAAACAAAAACATCCACAAGTACCATCCTCAGTACATTAAAATGCAGTGCTCCATTTTGTAAAAGAGTGCTTACTTTTTCAGCTTCTCATTTTGCTTCCCTCCCTTCTCCATCCTGCAGATGGCAGGATGTTCTTAGTTTTGGATGTGCAGCCCTGGAAACTCATGAAGGAGCACTAAGCTTCAGTCTTTACCCACACATGCACAGTCTCAGAATACTGAGCTGCAAAAGAGTGTAGAGTAAGGAAGCTCATTCATGCTTCCAACCAGGGCCAGATCTAGCCTGTCTGATGTGGGGGTGCAGTCAAAAATTTCAGGGGGGCAGAGGATGGGAGATCAGCAGGGCAGAAAACAGGGGTCACTGCTGGTAGGGCAGAGGACCGGGGCTCATCTCCTTTTCTCATCCCTGTACTGCATACAGCCTGGGCACAAGCAGGAGAGCTCTTCCTCCCCACACAATTCATAACTGAAATCAGTATAGTGTCAGTCAAGGACAGTATAGTGTCAGGCTAGGGAAGTGGAGTGTCAAACAGGGTGGGAACATATCAGACTATGGTGGTATAGTGTCAGATTGGAGAAGCATACTGGCAGGCTAGGGTTGTATAGTGGCAGGTTAGGGTTGACTTTGGGGGGGCATAGCCCACCCCACCACCCCCCCCTAGATCTGGCCATGCCTCCAACGCTTTTTACATCCTGCCATGCGGAGGATGAATTGGGGAGGGCAATGAAATGAGCAGCTGAAAAAGTATGCGTTCTTTTAAAACAGCAACAGCAATGTTTGGGGATATTTTTTACATCCTTTCCTTCTCCCTGTGAGTGCTTCCACAGCAAGACGTTTGCTATTGGGGCACCGGTGCAGGAGCTTTCCCAAGGTGGGCTGTGCGCATGCATAGACATTCATTGCACAGCTCAGCCATGTCCCCTTTTCCCTTCTCACAGGATTAGACTGACAACAGCAGGAGTTTATAGCTCCAACTATTTAGTGTAGCCTATGAATTCAGAAAGAGAGGACAGAGCGGCTGCCGGTGGGAACAGCCCTGGATTATGAGAGGTCTCAGGAAAGTGTTTAGGAAGGAGAAGAGCAAATGGAATGTTTTTTACCTTAACGCTAGGAAGGCATTAAAGTAAAAAAAATGCTGCATGTTTTATCAATTTGGAATTAAAACACACACCAGCGGTGTCACCCTGGGGACATAGACTTTAAATAGACATTAATAACAGACAAACAAACTGAAACCTAATTTCAGCTAATACTTTCTCAGAAGTTATGCAAGTTTTGTTTTTTTTTTTTTCAAAAAAAGTATGACCCACCTGAAAAAAAGATGAAGACTGCTCTGCAGTCACTTTTGCAGCAATTGTTTTTTTATTCCATATACAAGAAAAAACACAGCGCCTCTAAGTGTAGACTTGCAAATTTAATGATAAAAAGGTAAACAATTCACATGACATTGTAATAAGATAATAGGCTCATCTCAAAAGATATCAGTGAGGAAACCACAGTTATTCCATCATAACCTTTGATACTGTACCTCGCGACATGGCAAATAAATTGGCAACTTCAATCACAGAGGTACCAGCTAAGCGGCCACCAACAATCTGCCCTCTTTGAAGCTCAGTAAGCTCCGACATGACTCTGTATTACTAGCAGCACACACAGTGAATTATGAACGTGAGGCTTCCTACCTGTTAGCTAAGCGTTTCATTACACAGCGGAAGCAACAGAAGGGTACATCACTTTCACTTTCAACATGAAACCTGTCGTCACATTCACATCTGAAAATCATGCAGTGTTTCCATTTTTGCCTAACCCCTGTGTGTATATACACACATATATATACAGTCAGGTCCATAAATATTGGGACATCAACACAATTCTAACATTTTTGGCTCTATACACCACCACAATGGATTTGAAATGAAACGAACAAGATGTGCTTTAACTGCAGACAGTCAGCTTTAATTTGAGGGTATTTACATCCAAATCAGGTGAACGGTGTAGGAATTACAACAGTTTGCTTATGTGCCTCCCACTTATTAAGGGACCAAAAGTAATGGGACAATTGGCTTCTCAGCCGTTCCATGGCCAGGTGTGTGTTATTTCCTCATTATCCGAATTACAATGAGCAGATAAAAGGTCCAGAGTTCATTTCAAGTGTGCTATTTGCATTTGTAATCTGTTGCTGTCAACTCTCAAGATGAGATCCAAAGAGCTGTCACTATCAGTGAAGCAAGCCATCATTAGGCTGAAAAAACAAAACAAACCCATCAGAGAGATAGCAAAAACATTAGGCGTGGCCAAAACAACTGTTTGGAACATTCTTAAAAAGAAGGAACGCACCGGTGAGCTCAGCAACACCAAAAGACCCGGAAGACTACGGAAAACAACTGTGGTGGATGACCGAAGAATTCTTTCCCTGGTGAAGAAAACACCCTTCACAATAGTTGGCCAGATCAAGAACACTCTCCAGGAGGTAGGTGTATGTGTGTCAAAGTCAATAATCAAGAGAAGACTTCACCAGAGTGAATACAGAAGGTTCACCACAAGATGTAAACCATTGGTGAGCCTCAAAAAACAGGAAGGCCAGATTAGAGTTTGCCAAACGACATCTAAAAAAGCCTTCACAGTTCTGGAACAACATCCTATGGACAGATGAGACCAAGATCAACTTGTACCAGAGTGATGGGAAGAGAAGAGTATGGAGAAGGAAAGGAACTGCTCATGATCCTAAGCATACCACCTCATCAGTGAAGCATGGTGGTGGTAGTGTCATGGCGTGGGCATGTATGGCTGCCAATGGAACTGCTTCTCTTGTATTTATTGATGATGTGACTGCTGACAAAAGCAGCAGGATGAATTCTGAAGTGTTTTGGGCAATATTATCTGCTCATATTCAGCTTAATGCTTCAGAACTCATTGGACGCCGCTTCACAGTGCAGATGGACAATGACCCAAAGCATACTGCAAAAGCAACCAAAGAGTTTTTTAAGGGAAAGAAGTGGAATGTTATGCAATGGCCAAGTCAATCACCTGACATGAATCCGATTGAGCATGCATTTCACTTGCTGAAGACAAAACTGAAGGGAAAATGCCCCAAGAACAAGCAGGAACTGAAGACAGTTGCAGTAGAGGCCTGGCAGAGCATCACCAGGGATGAAACCCAGCGTCTGGTGATGTCTATGCGTTCCAGACTTCAGGCTGTAATTGACTGCAAAGGATTTGCAACCAAGTATTAAAAAGTGAAAGTTTGATTTATGATTATTATTCTGTCCCATTACTTTTGGTTCCTTAATAAGTGGGAGGCACATATGCAAACTGTTGTAATTCCTACACCGTTCACCTGATTTGGATGTAAATACCCTCAAATTAAAGCTGACAGTATGCAGCTAAAGCACATCTTGTTCGTTTCATTTCAAATCCATTGTGGTGGTGTATAGAGCCAAAAATGTTAGAATTGTGTCGATGTCCCAATATTTATGGACCTGACTGTATATATATATATATATATATATATATATATATATATATATATATATATACACACTATATTGCCAAAAGTATTGGGACGCCACTCCAAATCTTTGGATTCAGGTGTTTCAATCACCTCCATGGCCACAGGTGTATAAAATCAAGCACCTAGGCATGCAGACCGCTTCTACAAACATTTGTGAAAGAATGGGTTGCTCTCAGGAGCTCAGTGAATTCAAGCGTGGTACCGTGATAGGTTGCCACCTGTGCAATAAGTCCATCCATGATATTTCCTTGTTACTAAATATTCCACGGTCAACTGTCAGTGGTATTATAACAAAGTGGAAGCAACTGGGAACACCAGAAGTTGGCAACTGTCTGCAGAGTCAATAGCTAAAGACCTCCAAACTTCATGTGGCCTTATGATTAGCACAACAACAGTGTGTAGAGAGCTTCATGGAATAGGTTTCCATGGCCGAGCAGCTCCATCCAAGCCTTACTTTGCCAAGTGCAATGCAAAGCATCGGATACCACTGGACTCTAGAGTAGTGGAGGCGTGTTCTCTGGAGTGACAAATCATGCTTCTCTGTCTGGCAATCTGATGGATGTGTTTGACGGTTGGCAGGAGAACAGTACTTGCCTGTCTGCATTGTGCCAAGTGTAAAGTTTTGTGGAGGGGAGATTATGGTGTGGGTTTGTTTTTCAGGGGTTGAGCTTGGCCCTTAAGCTCCAGTGAAGGGAACTCTTAAGGCGTCAGTATACCAAGACAGTTTGAACAATTTCATGCTTCCAACTTTGTGGGAATGGTTTGGGGATGGCCCCTTACTGTTCCAACATGACTTCGCACCAGTGCACAAAGCAAGGTCCATAGAGACATGGATAAGTCAGTTTGGGGTGGAGGAACTTGACTGGCCTCAACTCAATAGAACACCTTTGGGATGAATTAGAGTGGAGACTGCGAACTAGGCCTTCTCATCCGACTTCAGTGCCTGACCTCACAAATACGCTTCTGGAAGAATGGTCAAACATTCCCATAGACATACTCCTAAACCTTGTGGACAGCCTTCCCAGAAGAATTTAAGCTGTTATAGCAGCAAAGGGTGGACCAACTCAATATTGAACTCTACAGACTAAGACTGGGATGCCATTAAAGTTCATGTGTGTATAAAGGCAGGCGTCCCAATACTTTTGGTAATATAGTGTGTGTGTATATATATATATATATATAAATATACAGTATATACAGTATATATGTATGTATATATGTG